ATTCACATAATTTTTTGATTTAATTCAACATCATCTTCACTACCATCATCATTGTCTTTATTTCTACCACCACCATGGAAAGAGAACAAAAAACTAAATACATCATCTTAAATGCAAGAAGATCAAATTAATATTATTAACTTCTTTAGTGGCATGCATAATGGAGAGATTTTTTATTGTGATCGGAACACGAGTAGTACACCACGTGTTATTATACAAGTGTTGGGAAGTTTAATTTTTTAAGTTACTAATTTTTTATCACACATATCCCACCATTTCTATAGTGACATGTGGTGTATCATTCTGTGTTCCGATCACATTGAAAAATCTCTTATGCATAATGCCATTATCAATATAAGACTTGACTATGACCAAAAAAAAAAAATATGACTTGACAAGGTCAGCTGTGAAATCATTAAAATGTAAGACATAATTACTAAACGTAAAACATATTCTTATTGGATCTAATACAATATTAAGCACTAACTCTTGAATTGTCAGAAAATGTTTTCAGAATAACTCAATGGCATAAGCATTAAGGAATACACTTCTACATTTACATGTGTTTTCTGTATATTTCCCAAATTTTATCCAGAATAAAATTCCTAAATATTTGGCTTCTTCATTTTAGTGTATAACATAGAGAGGCATGTCAATCGAGAGGCGAATTTTGTAGTAGATGCAGTAACTAATCTAGGTATTTCCCTTCCTACTATGTATATTTGGGATCAAGAACTCTTTGTTCAAGCCATGACAACTTTCTTATTTGATTGTAACAGATCTGGATGCTCGCGAGGTTTTTCGTTTTAATGCTTTCTTTCGTCAGCCAAAAATAGTATTCCTAAATGTTTACAAAAGATAAACTAAAAAAAAAAAAAAGAAATTAATAGGTAGGGGTATTTGCCTCAGTTAAATATCAAGTTAGAGAGAAATCATTGTCAATTTTTACTTTTCTTGCTTGGTATTTTTAAAGTAAAAGGTGATAATTTCTACCTCCACTAATAAAAAAAGAGAATTACCATAATTCATATATCAAGCATGCGTGTTGACAACATCAATTCACCACTACTGAAAAAAACAACTGATGCTTACTCTTTAATTTTTATCACCATGGTTCATGCCTTATAGCTCTCAAGTGGATCTCAGCCCCTTTCATAGCTCATCAACGATTAACTTTATATCTTTTTCAATTGACCAAATTCTTGTTCTAAATCACAATTCCACCCTTTTCGTTTGAGAGATACTCGATTCCACAGAATCGTGGAGGATGCCTATACAAAACAGTTCGTGATCAATTCATGTTACTTTCTAATTGTGATCAGATTCATTCATATCACGAATCATTTTGAACAAATCATTGTTGCTACAGTTGATTAACTAAATAACCTTAATTTCAATTAACTTTTTGTAAAGATAAATTTTATAGAGTGTTTTATAATACGACTAGTTCTGATCATAAGCATGAAGTTTGATGAATTGGCCACGACTATTTTCTGTTCCTCTACAATTGTGTGAAGCCAATTTTCTCTCTTTTTGTTTTACCATTTGATTTTTTTATGAGAAATTTGTACATACACTAAGAACACTTATCACATAGTATATCATTTGACGTATTATAATATAAGCAAACAAGTGGATTTATATATTCTGACTCTTAGCCGCGTTAAAGTCTGATTAAAACAGTAACATCAACTAGCATTGTTCCGAGTATACCAAATACTTTCTCGGGTTTGGGCTCAAGCAGTCAAGTTGCAGGGCAAGTAGAAAGTGCTGCAAACTGGTTTAACATCACTGGGATCCTCAGTGCGCCTCAAATGGACCAGTGTGAGCCGTGAACGGCAGAGCAATGCCTAACTGACGCGTATTTCTCTTGACATAGACGTTTAGGTTAAAAATGATAAGCACAGCACACGAGGTTCTTCAGCAGTCTGTCTCATCTAAAATTGTCTTATTGTGGTAAATATCAAACTGAATAAACAGTTAATATGCGATCATTATTTCGATTTTTAGTTTAAAAAATAATTTTTTATACTAAAAATAGAGGGAAAATTGATGAAGAAAATGAGGGATTGAGACGGATGAGGGAAGTAACCGAATAAGTGGGGAAGGGAGGAGTAAGAAATCAATGAGATTATATATATGAAAACAAAAACGTGTAATCATTGATTATATGAAAACAAAAACGTGTAAGTGAAAACAAATTAAAATTTATTCCGTTTTTATTTTGTGTGTCACTTCATATGCGTATTTTCATTTCTCTACCCATATTCATTCTTGTTTCAACAATACAGACTTTTAATTTATTTTCAACATTTTTTTTATTTCTGACCATCAAGCTGAATACATAAAACGTAAACAACGAACAAAATTAAACAAGCGTGTCAAGGGAAAGAAAAATAGTGTGTGATATCATTTCCCTCGTCATTTTAATATGATCAGAAAGTATTGGTCATAATCACAGTATGGATACGTTAAGTTCAAGTATAAAATCTAATTTCTCACAATAATCCTACCATATAATTTACCACCACAAAGCTAGAGTTGGACATGAACCTTTGAATGACGTTCAAGTCTGGCTTTTCTGGATTCATTGTACGGACAAGTGGCCATTTTCCTGTATTCTGGTTTACACTATTTATACAACATAAAAAGATGCCTTTTAATTTGGCATCCACACTGAGTGAGACACAAGAAACAGGAAAACGGTTTCTGTAACTTTCATGGCTTCCAGCCATACCGACCTAAATGAGGCATGTTATAACGCAACTGCTGGAAGCAGCTTAAGATAACATCAAATGCTGCAAAAACAAAAAACAAGTCAACAAAAGGAGTCAATCACTTGGATCCTTTTGTTATAGTGGCCCTACGCTGGATCTTAGCTGATCTTTTACCGTGTGATAGGGTCTGGTGATAACCCACTTAAACACAGGTTTGACTGAGTCTTATCACTTGATGAGTCGACTCACTCAACAGCAAATAAACAGTACGAAAAATTCTCTCGTAATCGGAGTTAGTATGTGGCAAGCATCGTGCACATGACAAGTATTTATTAAAGGAATGATGTTGTTGTGATTATGTCTTGGTTACAATGGCAAGAGAGTTTCTCTTGCATGATAAAGTTCATTGATAATCGACTCAATATAATGATTTGACGTGTAGTCTTACGACTCCGTGAGTCGACTCACACAACAGTAAAGAGATAGGAGAATAAACATATTTTTGCTTTAATCATTGCAGATTTGCTTAGTACTAATCCTATTCTAAGCCACCCATGATGTTTTGTTTTGTTATATATTTACCCCATTTCTTACTCACCAACCGTTTCATCCACGCCCAAATCAAGTGTGTATCCAACATCTATGATTACTTTACCCACTTGGACTTGGTCATTGATAAGATTTTTAGTACAAGTGCAAAGAGGTTAAAATCACACAAAATACTTGCAAGAGAACAAGATAGTTGTAGTAAAAATGCTCATGCAAGGTCGTTCCCACAAAGATTATTTAAAACAATTTATGCAAAATCAAAATCTTAATTAATTATTTGAAAACAAAGATTGAAAAATGTTGATTTTGAATTTAAATGTAATAAAAACGAATTTAATAAAAGTAATTTAGAAAAAAAAACTAGTAACCAATTAAGAAGAAATCAGATCAAAAAGAAAAGGTTTTGAGAAATAAATTTGGAAAAGCACTAGGATTCCGCCATCCCCTTAACAATTCTATGTAGATTTACTAATTACTTATGAATTACCCATGCAACTTTGAAGGTTAAGCTCGTGGTATTCAAGTTAGAATGTATATCAAATATGCAATCTGTCTGTGGTATTCAGATCAAATATAAACATGCATGACTCATTACACTTTGTGAAAAGCTTTTGAAAAACCATGTAACTCCTAAGACGTGGCATTCGCCCTAAGTGAAATTACAACTATCAATCACAAGAAGCAATACTCAATCCTCCAGTGGTATTCCGACCGAATTGCATCTAATTATTTATCTAAACATCCTAATGGTTGCGAGCATTAAGACACAAAGACAGTTTAAACACAGTGATTAATAATTCAAAGTATGCATGCATAATATCATAAGCAATTAAATAAAAACTACAAATTCATGCTAAGGCTCAAGGCATCGCCCTAGCAAAAGAAAGTTAGTTACGCATATTCATAATTAAAATCAAAAGAGTTTTATTAAACTAAAAAAAGAATGAAAGCACCTTCTAGAATAAAATCTGAAAATCTCTTAAGTTTTTGCCAAATTCCTCTTTCAAATATTGCATAAAGAAGAAGAAGGTGCTACCTAGAAAATCCAATCCTTCCTAGAAAAGGACTTATAATAAAACTAAGAAACCAAATAAAAGTAGGAAACCAAATAAATTAGGAAACATAATCTTAAATTGACTATGATAATCAGCCCAAAATCTGCATTGCCACGTTTTGGACCCATATATACTCCAAAACTGGCCCAAAATAGTTAGATTTAAAGCTTGAACTATTCTGAACACTTCTCCAGAAGGCTACGAATCCATCAGACGTCATCTTGGGCTCAAAAAATCACAATTAAGCCCAAAAAGTCACTTTCTAGCATCGCGCACTGCTTCTTTATTTCCTAGCCAGAAAATAACCGCTTGGTGGAAAAATCTGATATTTTGATAGAATCAAGCTAAGCTACTCACGAACGTCCTCCAATTTGAATCACTTTAAAATTCATCTGTTTGATCATGTTTTGCTTCAGAAGAAGTTAAATGTCCTATATTGAAAATATAAAGCAAAATATCAAGATCCTACCAAAATAATTACCAAAACATATTAAGAATAGGGTTGTTTAGATAATATAATATTGACTCATTAGTCATCAACTCTACAAGTCCATAGCTTAATGCTCAAAAAAAAAAAAAAAAAAAGGTGGGGTGCAGGGAGAAACAAGGCATATCTGTAATATTGAGCAATATGAAGGGGAGGATTGTATCCATCTCCTTTATATACACCCCATCTATATTCCCACCACCCCTCACTCATGACACCCAACTTTTCAAACCACAGTTTTGTTTTCCAAGTTGTGATAAAACACAAGCATGGGGAATTGCTTGGTTATGCAAGAAAATGTTACAAAGATTATGAGACCTGATGGGAAGATCCTAGAGTACAGCGCAGACATGAAAGTTTACCAGGTGCTGTCGGAGTTTTCGGGGCATGCAATATCTGAGACGGCTCCAAACTACCAGCATCTCCAGCCAGACTCCAAGCTGCTTGGTGGTCACCTCTACTATCTCGTACCTCTCCCTTTGCCACCGCCCAAAAAGGCTTCCCAGAAGAAGGTGAGATTTTCGGAGCCTGAAGCCGAACGGCCTGAACCTGAACAAGAAACTAAAGTTGTAAGGATTAAGTTGGTTATAAGCAAGAAAGAATTGCAGGAGATGTTGACAAAGGGAGGAGTTGCAGTTCTTGATGAAATGGTTTCTCGGCTTCAAAGTGAAGAAAAAGGCATAGATAAGAGTAACAGTAACAGCTTCAACGTTGATGGTAACTGTGAAGGGTGGAAGCCGGCTCTCGAAAGCATACCTGAAGTAGACTAGCAATAGTATAATCCTTAATATATGTAGCATTGTATCCTGATCCCTTCTACCAAAACGAAAAGGGAAAGAAGAAAAGAAAACAAGTATCTCTCCGCTTGATCGGTTTTCTGTAACATACATATAAAGTAAACAGAGATCCATGAAAAAGACTAGAAATACACAGCTTTTCTTTCCCTTCTCACATACAAGTTATTAATCCATTCTCTAATTGGTTGTTAATTCTAATAATAGAATCTGCAAGTCATTCAAAACCTTAGTCTCATGCATATCTCTCACGTACACAAGAAGTCACAACCAAGCCCCAAAAAAAAGGATAAAGGAAAACAAAACATGCAAGTGAAAAAACAAAGGGTTAATTAATTAGAGATGATTTAACCATGACCTAGCTAGAGATTTCCTGCTTAAACTAAAGATTCAAATTTCCAAGAATTTTCATACAACTTTGTGGTAAAGAGGGGAAGAAATGTTGCGTGACAACAAATATCAAAAGCGAGTAAGCAGTTTGCCATATTAGGTCCAAATATCAACGAGCATGTAATATGACGAAAGCGTGATGTGGCAATAAATATATGACTCTATGAGTTGGCCCCTTAAGCTTCCAGCCTCACCTGCCAAATCACAAAAAAGGTAGAAAAAAGAAATACAAAGCATATCTACTGTTATTGGCATGCCAAAATAGTCATCATACACTCCTCCTGAATGAAAAAACGAGGAGTGCATTTTTTAAATGCTAATTAATAACTTCCAAATTATTACATATTGTGGTGGTGGTGGTGTTAGTCCTCCCATTAAGAAAGCCTCTTGAAACTTCCCATAATGGAATGATAGAATAAGTCCACTTGCTTGCTCCAATAAAATTGCTTATGTGTGTGTGTCTCCTGGAAGAATAGCTTAAGTTACCTTTATTTATTTCATATACCAATCGTGGTGGTTTTGGTAGCATTCCAGAGCTGATTTACTGCTGCTTAGGACTATTCTTTACCAATCGCCATCGTTTCACACTCTTCTCCTATTAGGCATGTGAAAGAAAAAACGAAAGAAAACAAGAACTCCACAGGCTTAAATCGCCACCCAAATAAATGTTCCCTTGATACAGTAACCTAGCTTCCTGCACGGAAAAGAAGCACTCAAGCTCTCTTGACTGAAAAAAAAAATGAGGAATTAGAACTTAGAAAAGATCCGGAGTATGAAGAAAAACTCAGAAAGTCGATGAATTGAAAAGTTAATCGTACGGATTACTTTTGCATATAACACACCATTTGAGTCTCGTATCAAAAATCTTCTCAGCATTAGATTGTTTTATAATGGTGAAAAACTGATATAACTTGTAGAACACTGAAAATTAGTCTAAACCTCGTTTATAAACCTTCGATGGTTCAGCAATTTGCATAAGCTCGAGCCCTATGTAGAAACACCTAAACCTTCATATAAAGAAATCAAAACTATACAACAAGATATGAGATAGAAATTATAGTACCAGTTTTTAACTAAATGGATAACTGGAACTATATGTCATATGGAACACCCAAGACATCCTCCCATGTCTCACACCCGAAATTTGTACCCAAACAGACACAGAGCGAGTCTTCGTTGCATCATTCTTACACTCAAAGTATGTAACATAACTCTAGGTAAAGGAAAGCCAAAACTACTTTTGCATTCAGTAATTCTCTACTTAGAGGGCAAGCCTTGGCGTAATGGAAAGGTTTCTCCTTTGTGACCGAAAGGTCACAGATTCAAGTCATGGAAATAGCTTCTTTGCAAAGCAAGGGTAAGACTATGTATAATAGACATTTATCTCCCGATACTCACAAAGCAAGGAACCTTGTTGGCTTGGAGTTGCCCTTTTTTCTAATAATTCTTTGCTTGTTGGGTTCAGTACAGTGTAAACATTTCAAATTACTAAGTATAAGGACACTCTATAAGAAGAACCAGTTGGACAGACAATATTGCAAATCATGCAGAAACTTATTAGCCAAGTTGTCCACTGAAGCGGTCTCTATCTACCCTTTATTTCCATATCAGATTCTGAAAGAACAACCATAGGTCCCTCCTTGTTGATGAGAAACCACATAAGGAAATAAAAGGTCCTACAAAAAAAAGGGACAAGTACTTTAGATTTCTTTATAGCACGTAGTTGTGCTATTGGCATTTCAATTTCGGGTTATAGTTACTGTTTCGTCTTGCTGGGACATGACCAATCAGGACGCCGTGTGACATACATTCAAATTCCACTATAAAGGCCGCTGACTGACTAGGGCACCATTACTTATTTTTGCTTCCATCATAAAGCAGTAGGCACACTGGGAGTAGCTTAGTTCAGTTTGTTGGTGGAAACGTGTCATGCAAGTAAGCAATACACAATGACATGCATTTCACATTTCAGTTAAAATACTCACTTTTTATGCATCACTGAGTTTCTCAATTAGAGTGATGCCCTCCATCCACCTTGGCCATGGGAAATTGGAGGGGAAGTCTAGAAAAATAATCCATATCTTGTACTTCCGGTGTCTGAACTAGAGTGAAGCCCTCCATCCACCTTGGAAAATCATTTTTTTAGAGGATCTCCAATGGAGGGATGCAAAAACCATATTTACATTTTCAAAAGATGTAAATGAGAGTTCTACTTCAATGAGAAAGATGTAAAATAGAGATTCCATTTATTTCTCTCTTTTATTGGCGGGATCCCCCACCAAAAAATGTAAATTTAAGTTTTATTTACATTTTCTAGCCAAGATGGATATTTTACATCTATGCATTGGAGAGTTTCCGGCCAACCAAAAATGTAAAATACGCATTTCAAGGCATTTTGCATCTCTCATTGGAAACTACCCTAATTGATAATTAAAAGTACCTATTATATCCCAGAAAGCAGCATTTCCTTGTTTCTTTCCCATCGCTAACAAATATAAGAAGAAAATTCCATTTCCCATCCCTTAGGAAAAGATATGGGAAATCATCTCCCTCAATTCATTTTCGCGTACCAAACATAGCATGCAAGCAATTGCAATTGATAATTGTACGTGACAAACTCATAACTTCATTTTACTAAGCTTAAAATGACACAAAACTACAGGAAAGTGCTATTCACACACCAATTTTTACCTCCCACACACCCTTATTAATTTTTGGCCGTTGATCATACTTCATGTTGATTTAAGAAAAATCTGGTGTGCGCGCGTTTGTGCGGGTGTGAACCTTGATTTTATAAAGCTTGGACTTGCAAGCAAAAGAAACCAGATCCAGTAAAATACACAACCAAATGTATCCAGTTAAAGTTCACACGAAGGTTGAGAGAGACTAACTTACACTGTCCTCCTCAGTAATGAAACATGAAAAGAAAGAGCTCCCATCAATACTCACATCCTGCATTTGTCCTTCATCCTACATGGAAAGAAAGAGCTCCCATCCTGGCTATATGCCAACAGGCCCGTATATCTCCAAATAACTCGAGAATTAGGGGACCGAAAACAAAAGAAAAATCAAGTAAGAGTAGAAGGGGAGGGGAGAAAAAAAAAGAGCACCCCAATCTTGATTTGTAACTCAAGGTTCCGACTCAGTTTCGGCACATTATCCTGATGCAAAATTTCACTTCATTGGCCCCAAAAAATAATAGCTTCTACTCATAACTTACAAAGCGGCCTTTTCAATGTACTTTTTCTAAATAAATAAGCCAGAATAACCTAGATGTCTACGTACTCAGAACCAAAAGACAGTAGAAATGCACTAAACAGTCAAGGCCTCCTGCTGGGCATGCCAAGCAACGACGTCCTTGTATGACAAGTTGCCTCCAAAAACATCCAAAGTGCTGCCAACTGTTGCATCTACATGTCCCCGTCCTGCCACTTTTATCCTCTCTAAATCAGCCATTACAGTCACACCACCAGCATAAGTTACAGGAATCTGGCACCCAGAAACATATTGTGTCAGTGATTTGAACAGGATGTATGATGCATGAACATAAGAATTTCTAAATCTCTGGTGAAACCCATGCCGATTCTCTACTACAACAGCAGTGAATCCCATAGGTAGCCCCAAGCTTTTTGGCTCAACGAGAAACAACGAATTCTCATGCTCGAGGGCTTTATACCGATGGTGGATACACATTTTAATCCATGTTCAGTTAGTATAAAAATGATTTAGATGAAAACAATCGTTACTCAAAGAAAAGATGACAAGAATCATGGCTCAGTCCTTGTCTTTCCAAGGTCATCTATGTGAGGCTTAAAAACATATTTCTATTGATTGAACATAAATCAAACAACGGTAGTCTACATAGAAATGTGGATAATAGGTTAGAGAAATTTCTTTTCAGTGCAATGACGAGATGGAGGAATATTTCCAGCAACCTATAAAATTTTAAAAAACCTGAGCAGTTAGCAAAAGACATAAATGTACCATTCTATTAATAGGTTACCAACCGGTGAATACTCTCCAAGCAACGCCACAAGCTCCTCATCAATTCCCAGCCTGCAATAAATAGAAATGAGATCATCCAGTTATAACTCAATGGATAAACAGAGTACATTTGTCATTTTCAAATATTGGATGTCAGGTTGGGGGTGGGGGGTTGGTACTCATGCCGATATGCAATTGCAACTTTGCAAGCTTTCAACAATTATTGTTTAGTAATCAACTAAACATACGAGTAGTAGACCATCTGGAATCGGCAAATATATTTTCAGTATAGCAATTCCAAGAATTTAGGGCCAGCACTAAACTTCAAATGAAATTATAGCAGAAGCTCAACTCAAAAATGGATCTTCTTTAAACTCAACCCTTCAGAAATGAAAGAAAAATAACATTATTGTAACTTAATCCATTCTTTACTTGATTAGTGAATTTAACTCAAATGCGATCATAGTTTTATCTGTAAACATAAGGAAATTCTTGATATCAGAAACAGCGTCAATGGGAACAAGGATCTAGGAAAGAGAAAGGAAAAGAAAAGCATCTATCTATAACACGATGCATGGAATTCATGGACCTTTCTTTAAAAATTATATTTCTCAGTTCTCATAACGACGAGCACAAAGAGCAAAAGCCCTGAATAAATTTCTCAGGCAAGGAGAAAAAATTTAATTTTATTATGAAAAATCATTTTCCTTTAACTAATAATTATAGTCAAAGGCGAATCTGCACCACATTATTGTTAGCCATTGTGAGGCTTAGCCTACTCCC